CTTAAACAAAAATTATTATTAAAATTCTTCCATCAAGAATTCTACAAATAGGTGTCTCTCTCAAACAAAAAACAATAATCTGTATACCTTTCAAAGCAGCTTACAATTTCTCTCTGTTTTACAATTTAGTATTAATTTGAATAACAGGAAAGCAAAATAGGAGATTTGATCCCTCTGAACCATAATTTAATAGGAAAATATTCAACCATTCTTTGCTTTAGGATATTAAAAACCATGAATACAATGGCAAATAATGACTTTATGAAAATGGGAAACTTTACCATCTGTTTTGCTTTCTACCCAGGTACTTATTGCCTCTGCACAAGCTTTTGCATTCTGAAAATCCACCAGTTTTATGGCACTCTGAAAAAATTCCTTGTTGCCATGGAGATACTGTTCTTTCACAGTGAATCCTTCTTGAAGGTAGAGGGCATTGGCAAGATTAAATGTAAATTCTTGTTTTTTCTCTGAGATGGCAGAGAAAAATGACTTCAGCACAGAAAATTCTTCTCCTAAAAAATAATTATAATGTATACTGACATATGAACAAAATAAGAACAACAGCTTCTCAGCTTTGCTTCTAAGCGCTCTGATTCATATACCATTTTTTGCACCCTTAGGTATAACTAACGATCCTTTATAAGTTAGTATAAATATTTTAAGCATTTATCTCCTGTGGAATATGCATTTTGTAGAGAAATCAGCTCTCATACAGGAAAAAAAATGTCCATGTAAATTTGAAGTTTGTCAAAATCAAGAATATGCATTTAAACAGGCTGGAGGAAACTCCCTCTTTATAATCAAATTTAGCTCATTCTTAGTTGTTGGAAAGGTATCTTTAGAATCTCATTCTTTGCATAACATGCAATATTTATGAAAGAGGAATACTAATGAATGCTGATGGGGGCTAAGACAATGATGAGCAATCCTTTTCACTACTACTTTTATTTCAGCTTAAGAAAGAATTGCTCTCTTATGAGCAACTGTGTCTGTCCAAGTTTTGAAATTTATGAGGTACCCCTATAATTATCTCTGGAGATGCATAAGAATCAAAATTACCTATTTCTTCAGGTTCATGAATCTATATACTTTGGCTGTCTTTGTGAACAATAAAAATGTTGAACCATTCCAACTATAACCACTAGACAAATGAGTCTGTCAGAGTCAGCTACTAATCACTGTTGGCCCACTACTTATTTATCACTGGGTCATTCTGACCACCATGTTTTCAGGAAGCTGTATGTGCCGTGAGAGAATTCAGCTCTGATCGTCACTCAGTGGCTTCCTATTTATTACCAGAGGGCACGAATATTTTTCATTCCTTTCTGGCTTAATTCTGGAACTCAATTGTTGAATCTGGGAACTGTATTTCAAATCCAAGGTTCCTTCAGAGCCTTTGTTTATTTTGAGTTAAATACTGAAAATACCGCTTTCATAACTTAAAAATTGATTGCATGCAATTAATCTCTATTGAAGAAAACACAAGTGGTTCATCATTGGGAGATGTCCATTGAATAAAGAGGGAAAAAAAAGACTGAGAGGAACTTGCTATGAGGTGTCTATTGGAAATAAGGTGTGTAAGTGTGTGTGTAGACCTTTTATCAGAGAGCTAGCAGCCCACAGGGCATCTTTGTGCAAATAAGAACTCATGCCCTCACTGAGTGGTGGTGGTAGGCTGCATGCCCATATCTTGTCCAGCTGAGTGGAGACTACATTTCAGTCCCCACTTGCCTCTTTGTCCTGGTGCTCTTGTGCAGATACAACCTACATAACCATAGAGCAGGCTTGGAAGGTATATTGCATCATATTTCAAACTCCATGATTCTCCATTTGTGGGGATACAGACACAGACATAAACAATTTTAGTTACAAATACTTACTTCCATATGATTGGATATGAGGAATATCAATAATTTTTTACAACCCTGGAATTCCTTACATAAGGAAGAATGTTAATCTATTTTACTTGTTTATACAATGATTTCAGATGCAATCATTTCTTGCTATTGGAAGCTGAGAGAATATCTCAACACCTGAGAACCTACAAAGAAGACTTTCTGAGGGAAGGCATAGAGCTTCTCCAAAAGAATTAAGTAAGGTCAGAAATAAAGTGGCAGAATTTGAAACCAATTTTCAGAAGTTTGTAATTTCTGAACATCTTTAAAGGAATGGGGAAAAAAGGAGAGGGGAGAAAAAGTAGTTCCAACTCATTTGTCAGAGCAAATAAATTTATGTCATGTACTTAAGGTCTAAGACTGTTTGACAAACAGTCAGCTGCCCTTTGATAAATCACTGGACTCCGAAGTCAATGAAAAAATGTCACCAATAGCACAAGTTTGGAGAATATAAAGTTATCTGCCTTATACATTTGATTTAATTTACAGATTAATAGTTTCTTTTAGCACAGATCAAAAAGAATACATATCCATGGCTCCTAGTAAGCAATGAGAATAAGTTTATTTCATTTCCTAAAATAGAGCCATGGAAAACCTACCAGTCATGGAGTGAATGTGACTTTTGGTTCGGTTGGACCAGACCTCCAAACAAATGTTCTACAATTTAGTACATGTTTACTTCTCCTGCTATTAAAAGCCCAAAGACCAACCATGTGTACAATGTGAGAATCCAAAGATGAAAACAAAGGCAGTCATAGAATTATAGATTATTTTAGCTGAAAGGTCCAGACAAATCATCTAATCCAAACTCCTCTTTTTATAATGAGGAATCTAAAATCCAGAGAGAAAAAAATAAAAATTAAAAATAAATAAATAAAATCCAGAGAGAGAAGATAACTTGAAAGGTGCCCAATCACAAGGTCATTTGTATGCTTAACTGAGACAGGAGTTCATGCTCTTCTCTTTCTATAACCCTCTTGGAATAAAGAAGCACCTTTAAGTTAGTCTTCGATTAATAAGCAGCATCATTAGAGGCAAAGCAAAATGGAGTATTATCAGATGCTCAGTAAACTGGAGAAGGTAAATTCTGAGCAGACGCTTTGGCAATGGGGAAAGCAGGATAAGTGAGGATACTAAGAGCTCCAGTGGCGGTAGGGTGCTAGGAGTTGTACGCCCATCTGAAGAATAAGTAGTTTAGATGTGAAACAGGTTGGTAGCCGGAAAAGTAAAATATAGCCTGACTGAACAGGTAGCACCGTTTGACAATCAGAGGGAATTGAAGGCAGGGCCAGGACCAAGATGGGTCAATGAGACACTCATTTTGGCATAAAATTTAAGGAGATGCCAACAAATTCAGTGATCAAGATAAATAATATTTTACTGCAATATATTTTTAAATCAATATTAACACAAAGAAATCCATGATGAATAAAATATAAAAATTTTAAATAAATAAAGACAGGCTCATTGTTACTGGTTTTTCTTTTTGTCTTGGGTTCCAATATGGCTCTGCTAGGCACTACCTTCTAATCTGTCATACCCTTTGTTCTACCCTTAATACCATTTTGCTTTTCTTTCTTTTCATCTTCCTGCACTTTTTCTCTCTGTTCCCTTCCTTAACTCTGTCTTCTTTTTCTTTATTTCTTAATTTTCCCTTCCTTTTTTTATTTTCCAGAGTTTAATATTTCTATTTTCTCCCTTTTTGGTTGGTCTTCTTTTCTTTTTGTACTTATCCTCCATCTGTGCTTCTTTCTCCCTCCCTTAACGAAGTATTAATAGAAAGCAAGTTTGGTAGATTTTGTTATGTGTGTTAAAAGGTTAATGTTTAATTGTCCATATATACTCTTTCAAAGAAAATATTAAAATGTTCATTATTGCTCTTGTGACCTATAACCCTCAGTGAATCATTTTTAGAATTAGTTCTGGGCAAGTTACTCAACCTTTCTCTGACTTGGTATCCTCATCCGTATAGCAGGGTTATGTCCGACTCACAGAGTAATTGTGAGGATTAAATGAGATAAGCACATAAAACAGTGACTGGTATACTATATATATATATATGTTTGATAATGTCATCATTATTATTACTATGATTATTATTATATTCACAATCCAGAGTTGTTAAGACTCCCATGTTCCTCTATAAGATGGATTCATTTAAAGTAATTTAAATTTCGGAGGCTCTAATTTTGCTAGTTTATCGTGGAATCAACTTTACATATCTTCATAAATGTTCTATTACTTTCCAAAGCAGTATCATGTGATATAAATGTTTCCGGGACTGTGTAGTGGGATTTGCTGAAATTAATACAGACAATGAAGACTAGATCTGCAACACAGTGGCTTCATTTTACATTATCCACAAAGGAAAACTCTTGCAATTAACTTCACTATCACCAACTTCTTTTCTACATAAAATTGCCTTTATTTAAAATAAAGCAAATAAAACCTTGTAAATAGTTTATTCAGAAAAACAATTTCCTAAAAATAACTACTCTGTGCTAAGGCAAACATACTGAAATTGGTTATAGTTACAAATCAAATGTCCAAATCAAAAATCTGGAAGTCACCTCTGATGTTTAGGACACAGTATCTGACAGTGATATAAACATTTTAAACTAAAATGGAAATCGGAAGCACAAGATAACCAGGGAGATGGAAAACTACCCCCTGAAATGGGGTACCAGCACTAAAGCATCAACACAGTATCTCAGATAGGCCTTTGGGACGCTAGAAAACAACTACTCACATGCAATGGATTATATAAATGCTTCTTTTTTTAAAATTTTCTTTAAAAACTATTAAATAAGCTATTAAAATATATAAATGAATGCTTTTTCTTGGTCTCACTTAAGTGAAAAGGTTAAATTCTAATTAAAAACTAATTTTTAAAAGCTTACACAATAATAAGAGATGCACACAAAGATTTCTGGGTGAGGGTACTCACTGAAGCATTTTTATAAGAGAACTATTGGATATTACCTAATGAAGAAGGGTTAGGTGAGTACGCAATAATGTTTTCATCAGAGGCAAAAAGACACGGCAATTTAAAACTACATTCTGTGGGCTTCCCTGGTGGCGCAGTGGCTGAGAGTTCGCCTGCCGATGTAGGAGACACGGGTTCGTGCCCCGGTCTGGGAAGATCCCACATGCCGCGGAGCGGCTGGGCCCGTGAGCCATGGCAGATGAGCCTGCGCGTCCGGAGCCTGTGCTCCGCAACGGGAGAGGCCACAACAGTGAGAGGCCCGCATACCACAAAAACAAACAAACAACAACAACAAAAAAACTACATTCTGAAGCAGTCGCATGATATGAAAAAATGATCAGAACACAATAAGTGCTAGTAGAAGAATATGTGTATACATATATATGGGTATATATCTACTCATACACATACACACGTGCACACACAACATAATCTCACTTAAAACCGGCTAAAACAGACTAGAATAAAATATACAGACATAGTCACAATTTTTATGTGTATAGAATTAATTTTTTAATAAATTATTTTGGTAATATTTTCATTAAGAAACGATTATAATTATTTACATTGACAATTATTTGCATTTAAAATTCTCCATTTTATTATAATTTCATACTTTTCATAACTTTTTATATTTATTAAAGTTCTGTGACCCTGAGCTTCTCTGATAGTTTAAAAATAAATTTGGCCAGATCTTATCCAGTATAAATAATCATATGTAAGAATCTCACCAGTCGAGGTTTCTTGTAATTTTAAACTTTGTCTTATCTGCTGTTGTGTTATTCCTTTTGCTCCCAGTTGTACCATTCCAAGGGCCAGAGTTGTTCCAAAAGGGGAAATTATGATGTTGTTCTTATGAGATAAACAAACAGCTTGATAAAGATCCACTGCAAATTCGGTATTTCTTTGAGCCAAGGGGCTTGAGGCTTGACTTCCAGAAAAAGTCAATAGGAGACTCCACAACAAGACCTTATCCATTTTGACCTCTCTGCATTGGTTAATTCAAAATGTGTTAGTTTTCAAAATAATCAGAGTTTACCATAGCAAGCTCAATAGAAAGATTTCTGTCTATTAGAACTTTCTGTCTTATTAGAACAAACTACCACAAGAAGAGTCTAATGTCAATTTTCAGACTAAGCATCTTCTATTAGGAGAAATAAGCCATGTGCTAATAGCATTTTTAATATGCATTCAAGAAGCAGTACAGATGTACTGCAGTTTTTTTTAATTAAAGGAGAAATTATAATGCTGGAATATTATCAATAGCAATACTATCTCTGAATAGCTATGTGATAGTTTTTTGCATCTTTTCCATGGTTTTAAATGGGATACTTGCAACTCTGATATCAAGGGAAATTTCTGTTCAGACTACTCTAAAATAGTTTAAAGAACAAAAGGAGAAATGGAATACAAACCGAACACACTCCAGTGTGGTTTTGAACCTGTAATATTAGGAAATTCAAGTATTCTAAATCAGTTGAGTAATCTGGCTAACTTCTTACAGCAACAAGTCTCACACTTTACGGAATGGTGAAATAACCTCCAAACCCACCTCGTACTTTTCCAAAGAGAGGTTTTAAAAACTCAGAAAAAAATTATAAAGAAACAAAATTACAATCAAATATAAATGGTACAGTAACAAGAAATAAAGAAAGCAATTTTTTTTAAATCAAAGAATAATTTGACAAATAAATTAACAAATATAAGAAAGCTGTGACTGAAAACTGTAATCAATTCACAACACTAATGACACCGTATTAAACTGCTCTCCACTAAAACTCCAGGAAATTCAACCATCTCATTACATCTGGAGCAGAATAAGTTTTACAATATTACTGCAGACTTAGTAGAATACTGACTCTGAAGTATTTTAAATTTTAAGTACTTTAAATGAATAAAATTTCAAAGTATTTAAAATTTTAGTAACACTAGTTTTACCTTACAAATAATCCATTTTACTCACTTTCAATAACTCCTACTAGTTTAATAGGTTACTAGGAAGTAACCCTTTATTGGACGTAAATACGAAAACCTCCGGAATAATGTTTTGTTAGCCTTAAAGAAATGAAGAACTATAGCTCTAGTGTGTTTTGCAGATTATTAGGAAGTCTTCCATGACCCCTAAATGGCTAAGAATCACTATTACACATAAAGATTACTAATAGTCAATTATTTTCCAAAACTAAGTTGTAGAGTCATTATCTAGATATTTCCATTTCTTTTCTAATATGTGTAGTTAAACTTAGATATACAATTTACAAAGAAAAAAAAAACTCAAAACACAATCCAAAGCAACTGTTAGAAAATAATGTGTTGATAAACTGAAAATATAAATATATGCTATCAAGCAAATGTCTTATTGAAGATTAAATTAGTACATAAGGTTGTGAGTGGTAGTGCAACAATAGTAAAAGTGTAAAAGATGTTTTACATGAAAAATAAATTCCTGAGTATCATTTTCTAATATATTCAATACTCAGAAGATTTCTGACCAAAATATCAGTTTGTAGATACATAAGTAGTCAAAATGTTATCAAAAATTTTAAGTCATCAAGTGGCAATTCATTTGGCCCATTTTTAAGTACTTGGTTTATATTAGAATAATAAGCAATATTATGAAGGATGTAATTTTTCCCTAGTAGTAGAATCTGGGAGTTGCCCTATCATTATTAACAGTCTTAATAATTAAAATGTATATTCTTTGAGCATCCATTTCTCCCAGGAAATTTTTAGGCCCTTAATAAACTACAAGCTCATGCAAAAAAATTGTTTTAAAAATTCACTTACCTCATTGGGTTTTGGATTGTGTCTCATCAGAAAACACAAAGTACTGGTGAACTAAGCAACCTGATGAATAGTCTTATAAGAACTTGACCTTCAAATTTGTAGTGAAAATTTAAGGAAAATTTAATCTTTTAAGGAAAATAAAAGTAATGTGTTAATTTGATACATTTAAATAATACCTGCACCAGAGTGAATTGAAATGCCATTCCCTTACTCTATTAAACACTCATGGTTAATGTTGCATACATATTTCATTCAAACACTATTTAATTTCAAGGTACTTACCCGAAATTGGCTTCTGATTACTCACTGTAATGTTACAGCTAAAATGTGCCTGATGGGAAACACTAGTACATGGAGCACCTGATCAGTCAAGGCCAACTCTACTTATCTTGAACATTGCTCGATTAATTCCTCTAAAACCAAAGCAGGTGTTCACAACATTTGTACAGAAGAACTAACATGACCAGGTTAATGATCAATTATGAAATATGCAAGAATTGAGGGAGAAAACAATAGAATTTTTAAAAATCATTAAGTTTGAATTATTATTTCATCCATTATTTCACTTCTTTTATAAGTAGAAACAGAATGTGGAAGAATGTGCTATTGGTTGTAAATCTGCTAGTAATTAGTTCTTCTTGTTTTTTACAGAACTCCCATATCAGATTACCAATGTATTCCATCATAAATATTTCAGAATGCCTATAAGAAAAAGAATAAAGTGAAATCAAGTCCAAACTGCAGAGACAAATTACTGCTGCGTTTATAGAGTTCTCAACAATTCATCAAATTATACAACAGTCAGAGGAGTTTCCTGGGGATACAAGGCCCATTTGAATCCTTAGGAAACAGAGAGAATATTGAAGAAATATAGTCTTTATGTTGAGAAGAAACACCAGATTAAGATTATTGTCTTACCAAATTATCAGGATAATATCAAGATATTATTAAATATGAATAATTTGATAATAAACATTGGTGTTACTTGTATATGCTTTTAAAATTCTACATGATTTTCTCTACAAACAGGTTATTAATAAAAAATGGATGTACAATTGAATGGGTTTTGATCTCATTTTTCTAGTTCAAATCAATCACCTCAGGGACTTCCCTGGTGATGCAGTGGTTAAGAATCTGCCTGCCAATGCAGGGGACATGGGTTCGAGCCCTGGTCCGGGAAGATCCCATATGCTGCGGAGCAACTACTGAGCCTGCGTACCTAGAGCCCGTGCTCCACAACAAGAGAAGCCACTGCGATGAGAAGCCCAACACAGCCAAAAATAAATAAATTTTTAAAAAATACTATAAAAAAAAATCACCTCAATGACAATCAGATATTAAACACATTGTGTTATTCATCAGAGGCCTCTGAGAAGAGAAGGGGAAAATTTGGTCCAGTTTAAATTAAACAAATATTCACTATTATTATTTCTTTTTTTTGCGGTACGTGGGCCTCTCACTGCTGCGGCCTCTCCCGTTGCGGAGCACAGGCTCCGGACACGCAGGCTCAGTGGCCATGGCTCACGGGCCCAGCCGCTCCGAGGCATGTGGGATCTTCCCGGACCAGGGCACGAACCCGTGTCCCCTGCATCGGCAGGCGGACTCTCAACCACTGCGCCAGCAGGGAAGCCCCAAATATTCACTATTGATCACTAAATGTAATATTATTTCTGAGAAATTTATGAGAAAGAAATAAAATTAATGTAGATACCTTTAAAAAAATTCATTAAAAAAAAAAAACTTTTTTCCAGGAGTGGAATTCCTGGGTCATGGGGTATGCACATTTTCAATTTTATTGAATATAAATTGTGTTCAAAAGTGGATGTAGCAGCTATTGGCACTTCTATCAGCTGTATAAAATCCATCTTTTTCCCACATCCTCACAAGCGTGTAATGTTGCTAGACTTTAATTTCCATTGTGGGTGTGCTATTTTATCTCACTGTAGTTTGAATTTACACTTCGTCATTTCTAATAAAGTTGAGCATCTTTTCGCATGTTTATTTCCATTTGTGATTATTAATCTGTGAGTTCTTATTCAAAATGTTGCCTTTTTTTTTGAATTGTTCTCTTTCTTGTTAATTGATTTGTAAGAGAGGTTTTTCGGTTTACATTTTTTTAAAAAACTATATTTTGGTGATTAATCTTTTGTGGGGTTTGTGTGTCAAAGAATCATTTTTCCCAGTTTGCGTATTTTCTTTTAATTATTTTTATATCTTTTGAATAAAACAATGGAATTTAAGTTTTCAAAAAACAAAAAAAAACTTGCAAGGACCCTGTTAACCTCTTTCAGTGTCCTAACAGGGCCACAGAAGGCTGATGACAGTCATAGGCCATAATCTCTTAATTTACTAAAATTCTTAATTTCCCATCTAGGCATCTCTAAATGTTTTCTAAATCTTGGGTTATATTCTAGTATTACTTACTCTAACATAAGCAAACTCTATTCCAGCTTCAACTTAACGCTGTTGGAGATAATTTTCCAAACACAGAATTATACAACACGAGAACGTTGTTGGAAATAATTTTCCAAACACAGAATTATACAACACGAGAACATTATCATTCCTCTTGTTCTACTCAGCAATTCATAAATAAGTCTGAATGCCTAAGACTATTATTCAATCAACGCTCTTCTACCCATGCAGTGACACCAGCAAATATCCATCACAAGTACCCTTGGCTTCCAAATTATTATGTCTGTACATTACTCAGATCATAATGTGACTTACCCAGGCAAAGCCCATTACTTTTCCTTCCAGTGACAGAGACAGACACTCT